CATAACAACGTAACAACGTCACGTAACAACCTAACGTAACAACCTAACGTAACAACGTCACGTAACAACCTAACATAACAAAGTGACAATGTGACCTAAAATAACATTACAAACAACGTAACTGCCGTAAATAAATAACCGCCTTAACTGACTTTCTTACGTAAAGTTACGTAACAATGTTAAGTAACAAGCGTAACGTCTTCATCTCTCCTGGGTGAAAGTCCTGTGTTTGTTGTCAGGCCTTTCCAACACCTTTCCCACTCACCCTTGGTCCTTATTATACCAAGTAACTTTTGCCATGTAACGGTTGCTTGATATACTGTCACTTGCTCAGGCCGAATGCAAAAATGTAGAAATCTAACGTATCCGTGGTTCGCAGAAACAGAAACAATGCCAGAATTGCACACAGAGCTTTTTTTTTTTTTTTTGCAAAACCATGAAAAATACAGCTACTAAGCCAAAAAACGAACTATCAAGCAAAACTGATGACAATTCTCAGCCGCAGAGAGGTGCACGGAGGTGTGTGAAAACACCAACGCTTATTATTACGATTTTTATGAGCCTCATCAGATCACTGTCGAGCCAGGAACAGGCTTTGGTTTTATATAATAACTTCATAATGTGCAGTAATCTGATGTTCTCTTCAGTTTAGGGAGCTATCCGTGCTGCACGTCAGGAGGGGCCCCATCATGTGTGTGTGTGTGTGTGTGTGTGTGTGTGTGTGCAGGAATGTGCCTGCTAAAATGAAAAACATGAATTTTCCATTGAGGAGTTGGAGGACCTCTATAGGAGCCCGCTGTATAGATAGAGAGGCGGCCTTCTGGGAGGCCACCGTATAGTTTCCACCTGTGTTCTTTAGTGGTGGGCAGGTTCACATGTCAGGAGGGCTTCTCGGTTTCCCCTCCGTGCTCCCCTACCCTCCTCCCAGTTGTTTTTTTGCGGCGCTGGAGATCAGAAGCAGGAAGCATTTGTTGTGCACAGGATGCTCCCTGAATGCACCGCTCCCACTCGGCTAATAACTTTAACACTTCTTCTTCCCCTCGGCCGCGCTCACAAACGGGACGTGTGTTCACTTCCTCTTTGGCGGTCACTTCCTCTGAGGTCAGCGGTCAGACGTGTTGAGTAAAGCAACGCTTTCTTATGCAAGATGCATCTCCCCAGAGACGAGGTCTTGCTTTTATTTGCTCTAAAGCAGATATTAATAACCCTGGGCAGGGAATTAATTACATATGGTTTAAATCAGCGATTTCTATGAAGTCTGGTCTCATTTTTGGAAGTGAATATAAAGAAAGTAACATGATGAGAAGTTAAGTATTCTGTGAAAATGTGCTGCGTCATTTCTGTTGTTCTGTTGCATTGGTTTGTCTCATTTTATGTGAATGTATTTCTTTGGTTGTAAGATGTTTTATGGTCTTCATTCGTAGGAAAACATAAAGACATGCCTTCATGCAAGTAACATATTTTATTTTCAATGTGTGTGCTTAATCATCATGATGTTTACACACAACAATATGTGATAAAGGAAGGAATAACCGTAGCAGGAAGTTTGGGAGCTGCTGAACGTGATTTTGGGAATTCCCTCTCTTTGAAACTTCCCCCAGAGGGAGCGGAGTTACTGCTCACGTCTTAGTCACAGTCATTGTGATATTTTAAGATTAATAAAAGGAATCACAGGCAAGACAGTTATTATCTTTACGTTTGTCTACACATCTGGTGAGCTCTCGTTCCCACGGCCAACATTTGAATAAAAAGATGAATGAATAGGAAACTGATTGATTCATCTGCCTCTCCCACTTTCTGTACAGAGAGACGGAAAAACAGAATAAACACTTCTGGGACGGGGGCGAGGAGGGTTGAGGGGAGGGGGGGGGGTCACAGGATGTTGTTCGACTTGTAGATCCTGTTTTCATCTCATTTTCCAAGAAGCAACTCTAACGCAGGTGCACCAGCAAACCCCCCCCCCCCCGTCATCTCCTCCACGCCCTCCTGCAGCCAAGCCCCGCCCTCGCTCCCTCCCCCCTTTTGAGGGTCAGAGATGTTTTGGTTTATGTAACACTTTGTTCTTCATGCTCCGATCAATTTAGAGATTATAATTCCATCACTCGGCTTCTTTCAGACTAGTAGAAATAAAACGTTTATTTTATCACTTTGTCTGTTTACGTCTGTAGATTTCTCCTAAATTCACCAAAAGTTATCATTACATAATGCCTCATTTGCATATTTAAACATAACATTTCAGAACACTTGTAATACAATAAATACTTGTCTTAATGTGAGTGATGAAGTGGTGAAGTTTCATGGTGATATCTATG